CCGGTGCGTTGTCATGAAGAAGTCGCACACCTTTTCCCAGCATTCTGAGTTGCCTTTTCTTTATTTCCTCCCGTAATTTTCTCAGAAGGTTCCAGTAGTACTCGCCAGTGATGGTGACACCCTTTTGCATGTAGTCAGTTATGATGACACCTCACCGAACCCAGAACACACTCAACATCACCTTTCCTGAAGATGGCTGGGATTTGGTCTTCTTTGGTGGTGTCGGATCTGCAGGTTCCCACTGCTTGCTCATTTCCTTTGTTTCAGGCTCATAATGATAGATGCAACATTATCCATTGTGATCAGGCAATCAAAAAATTCCACATTTTCGTCTTGAGACAACTGCAAAAGTTTCTTTGCCACATCCATCCGTTGCTATTTTTGAACTGATGTCAACAATCATGGCAACCAACACGCAGCAACCTTTGTCATGTGCAACTCGTCATGGATGATGTTGAAAATGTGGACCTCACGAATAATAGCTTCAATAGTTATGCACCTATCAGATAGGATCAAAGCTTCCACCTGTGCCACAATCCCCAGTTCCTCAGCAAGAGATGGTCTTCCACTCTGGGGTTCATCTTCGAGGTTTGTCTGTCCACAATGAAAGTGCCTCTTCCATCTGATCACTGTGTCATATGATGGTACACCTTCCTGATACATAGCAATCATCTGGTCGTGGATTTCCTTGGCAGACTTCCCTTGCAAATGCAGGAACTGCATCACAGTGCAAGCCTCCACTTTCTCACCTGATGTAGCCATTTTGCTTATGCTCCCTCTGTCCACTTATTGCAGGAAAATTTGACTGTTTGGAAAGCTCAGGAAATGGGCTATCTCCTATATAGAAGGTTATTTTGGAATTATGATTTACTCATGCTGTGGTCTAGTGGTCAGAATTGCTGGCTACAGATCTAGAGGTCCTGGGTTCGATTCCCGGCGCTACAAAACTTTCTGAGTAGTAGTGGGTCTGGAACGGGGTCCATTCAGCCTCGTGAGGATAATTGAGGTGCAATTTCAAGGAAATAGCGGCTCCGGTCTAGAAAATCGAGACTAACGGCCATGGGGAATCATTGTGCTGACCACGTGACACTCTCTATCCGCTAAAGCTAGCTCTAACTTCGCCGACAAGCGGAGGT